TCAAGTGTCGTTATCGTCGAGCTCGATGATATCGTATCATCCGCTTGATATCTTCCGTTTCCGGAAAGTGATTATTGAAAAATATTTTTCGACATAAATTTTAATCACCCTCAGGATTTTAAATTGAAAGGAAAAAAAGTAATAATAATAATAATAATAACAATAGTAATTCCTGTACTACATGTATTTTTATAAAAATATATATATATTTATTATTTACAAATTTTTTTAAAAATTTTTTATAAGGTGATTTATTTGACAATGTTTAGCCTATTCAAAAACATGTTTTTTTAAAAGAAATTGTGTGTTCCTAGACTGTGTTTGTGATTATCACGGTTTATTATTATACTAAACCTAAACGTTTTTCGTTAATTTTTTATTATTTTAATTGAATGGGTTTGTCGAACGTTTTTCTTTTACCTTTTCGAGTTTTTTTTTTTGGTTGTCGTTAAGGGAGAAAAGCCCAAGTTAAAAAAAAAATTACTTATTTTAGATTTCTTTGCCATTAAAGTAAAATTTGTTTATTTGAAAATTACTGGATTTATTTCTCTATATTTTAAAAGAGAGAAAGGAAAAAAAGTAATTGTTTAATAAAATATTATATTTTACGCTTGTTTAAAATTATTAAATCATAGAATCGGGTAAAAAGTTACTGTTAAAGGTAGGAATTAAATTTTATCATATGTATCACGTATGGAATCATAGAGTATTAATCGTTTTTGTTATGGAGAGACCATAGAGTAAATAAAAAAAAATTGATTAGTATTCATTAGTTGAGTTGGACACTCTGATTCAACAGTTCCTTCTCGACTATGGCGAATTTATCGGTTACTATTACTTATCCTTTAATAATAATTTTATTAATTTTACAAATAAATTTTTTTTTAATCGTAGCCGGTGATTGTAAAGGATGCGTTCAATTAGATACCTATTCATTTGATAAGGTGAATTGTATTCTTTTTAAAAAATATATTTTGTAATTTTTATAAATTAATATTAAGTTGCTTTTTTTATTATTATTATTTTGTATCTTAAAAATTTGTTATCAGTTCTTAAAATAATGAATTAATGATAATAATAATATTAAAGATGGCCAAGTGTATTTTTTAGTATCATTTATTCCTTTACGAATATATTTAAATTCAAATTTAAAAATTTTTATTATCATGTTTTAATAATAAATTATTAATTTTAAAATGCCGGTCGTTAACATTTTCGAAAAGTGAAAACAACTATTTATAAATTTCTACTATAAATAAATCCTGAATTATTTAAAGTATTTTATATAAAAAAAATTTATTTCTTTCATTTTTTTATGTAATTATTAAACTTGAATTATTTGGGGAGGGGGGGTCCTTTTTGCCTTAGGAAGTGATTTGGAAATTAAAAAAAAAAACTCAGTCAAGCTTTATTTATTTTTTTTTTATTCAATTGTTTAATAAAATAACAATATTTGCATTGTAATAAATTGTTTACAAAAAATATATTAATAATAATAATAATAGAGAATTTCTTTTTTTTTTTTATTATTATTTCAACAGGTCATATCTAAATTTAAAGCATCCGCTGTGAAATTTGATGTCGTTTTTCCCTATGGTGAAAAACAAGATGAATTTGGAAAAGTTTCAGAATCTGCTTATAACATAAATGATTTACTTATAGCAGAAGTAGGAGTTAAAGATTATGGAGATAAAGATAATACTGATTTAGCAGAAAGATATGGATTGTCAAAAGACGATTTCCCTTCTGTAAAACTTTTCTTGATGGGAAAAAAAGATCCTCTCACATTCACCGGTGAATTCAAAGCTGAAAACATTCAAAATTTTATAAAACAAAAATCGGGGGTAAAAATTTTTTTTAAAAAAAAAAATTACTCATTTAAAATAATTTGTAAAATGAATATGCATAATATTTACTTTGTTAGGTTTACATTGGACTTCCCGGTTGTTTGGAAGAATTCGATAAGGTTGCTGAAGAATTTGCTAAAGAAAATTGTAATGAAAAGAGAAAACAACTTTTAAGAAAAACTGAAGATTTATGGGATAAAGTAACTGGTAATACAAATCAAAAATCTGCCGAAGTTTATGTCAAAACGATGAGAAAAATAATAGAAAAAGGTAATGAATTTATGAATAATGAATTGAAAAGAGTTCAAAATATTTTAAAAGGGAAATTATCAAAAGAGAAAACAACTGAAATGCAACATCGTATAAATATTTTACAATCATTTAAAATAATTACCAAAGATGAGCTTTGAAAAAAATAATTTTTTTCTCGTCAAATTCGATTATTTTCATTCAAAGTTAAATAATTAATCAATTTGGGGGGGAGGGGAAAAAACAATTAGATACTTTATATATTTAATTAATTATGAATTATATCATTTTCAGTGTGCAATTATAATTTAATATTAAATTAAATTTAAATTTTTTATATATATTAAAAAATGTTTAATGGCTTCTAAAAAAAAAAAAAACATTCCACTTAGTCGAACAAATTTTTTTTAATTAAGAGTATGTAAATGATAATTTTTAGTTGTTCTTTAATTTCACTACCAATTAAAATTTAAAATTAATTATTTTATCAAATTTAATTTAATTATTAAAGAACACCTAATAAATTTTCATAAACTTTTTTAATTAATCTTTAATAACTAAAAGTTTCAGTTTATAATTTTTTTTATAATAATCATCTTTGGTACAAACGTTTTGTTTCAAACGATTCGTATTTAAAAGTTATTATAAAGATTAATATAAGTTAATTTAATCATAAATAAATAAAATAAAATAAATTTTTTCATTATAAATTAATTAATGTCGTGTTTAATTTTTTTTAAATATTTAAACGAATTTTTCAAATGGTACGAAATGACGAAAGCAGGTTTTTTATTGGTTGATGCAGTGTTGCCAACATTTATGGCGTTCAATTAAACTCGGATGTTTACACAAGTTCAATCAGTAATAAATTCGTTTTTAAATATTTTTTTTTTTTATTAAAATTTGCCTGTACAGTAATAATTCAGTTAAAGATGAATTTTTTATTTAATAAGTTAGACGCTAACGTTTAATTATTCGTAATTTCATTTGTGTGTACTCAATTGTTCAGTTTTTAATAATGTCTAAAAAAACAGTTTCTTATTTTTATTCTCCTGACGTGGGAAATTTTCATTATGGTCCCGGTCATCCGATGAAGCCTCACAGACTATCGGTTATACATAGTTTAGTATTAAATTATGGATTGCATAAAAAAATGCAAATATATCGTCCATATAAAGCGAGTGCTCATGATATGTGTAGATTTCATAGTGATGAATACGTTGAGTTTCTTCAAAGAGTTACACCTCAAAATTTACAAAATTATACAAAATATTTGGCGCATTTTAATGTCGGTGATGATTGTCCGGTTTTCGAAGGATTGTACGATTTCTGCAGTATGTACACGGGAGCTTCATTAGAAGGAGCTACTAAATTAAATAATAATTGTTGTGATATTGCTATAAATTGGTCTGGTGGATTACACCATGCCAAAAAATTTGAAGCTAGTGGTTTTTGTTATGTGAATGACATTGTTATAGCAATTTTAGAACTTTTAAAATACCATCCAAGAGTGCTCTACATTGATATTGATGTTCATCACGGAGATGGAGTTCAAGAAGCATTTTATTTAACTGATAGAGTTATGACTGTTTCTTTTCATAAATATGGTAATTGTTTTTTTCCCGGAACTGGAGACATGTATGAAATAGGTGCAGAAAGTGGTCGATATTATTCAGTTAATGTGCCTTTGAAGGAGGGCATTGATGACACAAGTTATGTCCAAGTTTTTAAACCAGTTATTCACAGTGTAATGGAATTTTATCAGCCTACAGCAATCGTCTTGCAATGTGGTGCCGATTCTTTAGCAAATGATAGATTAGGATGTTTTTCTCTAAGCACAAAAGGTCATGGTGAATGTGTTAAATTAATAAGAGATTTAAATGTTCCACTTTTGGCAGTTGGAGGTGGAGGGTAATTATTACTTATTATCAATTTTAAATTTTCATTTTGTTTTTACTTTATATGATACATTCACTGATTTAAATTTAGGTATACTTTGAGAAATGTTGCTCGTTGTTGGACATATGAAACATCTTTATTAGTGGAAGAACAAATAAGTAATGAACTTCCTTTGACTGAATATTTAGAATATTTTGCTCCAGATTTTACACTTCATCCAGATGTTGTCACTCGACAGGAAAATGCTAATAGCAAACAATATCTTGAAGCAATAACCAGGTAATTTAACTATAATTTCATCAGTAGACCTAATTATTTATTATGGAGTCTTCATCTGCAGTACTTAACAGTACGGAAACTTATTTTTCGTAATAATTAATTTTCTTATAAAATCTTTCAGGCATGTTTGTGACAATTTAAAAATGGTTCAACACTCACCGAGTGTACAAATGCACGATGTACCTGGTGATATATTGCAACAGGAACCACAAGAAGACAATCCTGATGTCAGGATATCGCAAGCTGATGAAGATAAACGAGTGGAACCTGCGAATGAATTTTACGATGGTGAAAAAGACAATGATAAAGAAAATGTGGAAACATAACTTGATTATTTTCATTTTCAAGGTAAAAAAAAACTTTTTTCTTTTTTTTCAAAACAAAACATTTTAGTTTCTTATGTGCTTACAAAAAGGGTTTCACAATGTGTTGATAAGCGATAAGAAAACTAAAATGAATTTTTAATTTTAAAATAAATTGTGACATTTTAAAGTAATTTTAAATGGAGAGAATGGAGTGTGTGTGTGTGTGTGTAGTCGAGACAATTTTTATTTGTATTTTATTAATAAAAAAAATTTTTTTTTTAAAAAAATAATTTTATTCGTGGAAAACAATTTTCTTTTTTTAATTTTTTATAAATAATTTAAACTAAATGTGTTAGGATTTGTAAAAAATTATTTACCACTACTTAATAATAATTTATGTTTGATAATAATTCATATCAACATCATCAATTAATACAAAGAGAAAAAGAAGTCCAACTTTTATTTTTTATTTATTTATTATTTAATAAATTTAAGGTGTGTGTTACATACACCATAACAGACATTTAAAAATTACAAAATGGTTCTTTTAGTTCTTAAAAATAATAATAATAATAATAATAAACGTAGATATTTTTTTTTTTTTTTTTTTTTGTTAGCATTCAAGCTTTTTTTTTTTATTATTATTATTATAATCTTTCAATTTAATTATTTTCAAGTGGGGATATCCGGTTTCAGTTGTTGTTGTGGTTGTTGTTGTTGTTTTCCAAACTAGTTTCCGTATAAATTTTCCTTTTTTTTTTAAATAAAAAAAAAGTTTAAAGGTGATTAGGTGGTTCAAGGTTTTTCAAAATGAAGGTTTTTTTAAAGCTCGTTCGATCGATCGAAAAAAAAAAAAAAAAAAAAAATTTTTTTTTTTTTCTAATAAAAATCAAGGTTTTATTATTATTATTATTATTATTATTATTATTATTATTATTTTCAAATAAACAAATATTGTCAAATCAAAAAAAAATAAATATATAGGAACGATGACAAGTAATAATAATATTTAAAATTAAAATTTTTTAAATAAAATTTAAATAAATAAATAAATAATAAACTTGTTGAATTTCGTATTTGATTCTGAGCAACTTTTTAATAAATTCGGAGGATGGTGGGGCGGGGCGGGGGAGGCGGGGGGGAGGGTAAATGTAGGATAGGAAATTTAAAAAAAAAAAAATAATTAATAATTATTTTTTATAAATAATTGTAAATTTAATTATTATTATTATTATTATTATTATTTTTATAAATTTTTTCTGTTATTACAAAATGTGTATTCAAGTTAACTTTTTACATTTTTCATGGCTTTCTTAATTAATAACAAATTTTTTTTTCTTTTATTATTATTATTATTATTTTTTAGTAAAACTTATATAGATAACTACTACGAAAAACAAACAAACAAACAAACAAACAAACGAACAAAGCAAAAAAAAAAACGTTTCGGTCTGCAAAATCGAAAATAACTTTCATATAAATCATGAAAGATCGCTAGCAGATGACAAAACTTTACATTTTATATAAAATATCCACGTTTATAAAAAAAAATTATTAATTGTTGACTAATTTGAAAACAATTTTTTTAAAACGCGATAAACCCCCCCCCCATCCCACCCCCGCACTTCTCAATCCTATCGATAATAATAATAACAATAATAAAAACAGAAAAAAAACAAAAACAAAAATTAATTAATTAACAATCAACATCATTATCATCGTTACCATCATTACCATCATCATCATCATCATTACCATCATCACCATCATCATCACCATCACCATCATCATCATCATCATTATCATCTCGAATATTTTTTTTAAGCTTAACTATTTATTTTAATTAGTCAATTTATGGACTAGTGATAAGAATGGCGTTATCGTAGTAGTAGCAGTAGTAGTGAGATAAAATAATAGTAAAGCTTCATATAGTAAAATAATTTAGGTATAGTTGTTAGAAAAAGAAGAAAAAAATTTAACGAACGAATCAGTCGACTACTTGAACGGTAGCAAAAGCACTAAACGTAACTTTTTTAGGTTCGCAATATTTTTTATTTTTTTTAATAACGGATTTTAGATTTGATATTTTATTACAATTGTTGTTGTTGTTGTTGTTATTGTAAGACATGATGTCGTCAAAACTATTTCTACGTCTGAAATTTTGTAGGGAATTATGTAAATTACCACCGACTTCTCGAATTTTCGATTGTAAACCGCAACGTTTTATCGATTCGGCCGATTCTCGATAATCGTTCGATATGTATATATATCGATAAGGCATGAGGGTTTTTTTCGTGGGTCTACCTGCAGCGCTCGTCGATCTTTTTTTATCGACGTATTTTTCATCATGTTTTGTCGTCGTCGTCTGCTGTCTTCCTCTCGAACCCGTTTTATTATTAGCATCCCTTATAGAATTTTGATTCTGCCACGTTTTGACATCTATCAAAGGACTCTTACCTAAATTTGGTTCTTTTTTAATACGATTATCACCAACTACGACGACGACATTTTGCGGTTGTGGTGGTTGTGGTGACGTCGTCGTCGTCGTGGTCGGTGACAAATAAAAATTATTTTTTACATTTCCTGTCGTTATTTTCTGATCGAGATTATGATGATGATGATGATGATTTGTCGGTGGTGACGGAGCTTGATTTTTTTTCCTACCAAGTTTTTTCCTTTCCGGCCTTATCGGTGGTGGAAAATCGTAAATTTTTTTATCTTTTTCACCATATCTTTGTCTTATTTGTTCTTTTTTACAATAACTTTCGACATCCGTTATTATGACACCTTCTATTTCTTTTCTCAATTTGGATTTGTTTGCAAATTTTTTTTCCGGTACTTGTTTCGTTTGTTCAACCGTTTTCGTCACTTCCAAATGCGTCACGCCGTTAGGATCAGTTCTTTGCACGAGATTAAATTGATCTCCGACGTTGTAATTTTTTTCTTTTAGTATTCCCGCCGTTTTCATTATTGAATTTGACGTTTCGTATTCCCAACTTTTGGATATGTTTACCAAACTTTGAGTTTTCGTTACGGATGATTGAAGGGATGCTGTCGTGACGTTGCTGTTGTTATTCGATGACGGTTTGATTTCTATCGTTGTTTTATTCGAGAGATTTTTATCGGATTTTATTAAAGAATTTAACGAAATTGAATTTTTTATATCGTTTTTAAAACTCGTCATTATTTTTGGATTTAATATCGATAATTCGGATGCTTTTATCAAACCTGAATTTTCTATTTTCATGTCGGATAGGGAAACTTTAACATCTTTGGATTCGGGGGGCAACGGATTTAGATTTATTAATTTTTTCCCTTCCGCATCTGATTTTCGTTTTATCGATTTATAATTGTCTAATTTTGTTCTTTTACTATATTCGAGATAATTCGAACATAATTCTTTTAAATTGTCACCGTTTTTACATTTGACGACGATGACTTCGAGACAATTATCGATTTTGGTAAAATTATCTCCAACCCCCGATTTGAATCCCGGATCCGACGTCGTATTTTTTTTTATAACCCAAGCAATCACGTTCGGATATTTGGGTTCGGTGTGACAAAAAATAACGTCGGATATTGGATACTCTTCCATTTTGGTTGATTTTTTATCGAAATCCCCGGGAGATTTAAATATTGTATCGAATTTTTTTTGCAATGATTTTTTCGTTTGAGTGACGACGGGTGACGGTGTGAGAGAATGAAATTCAATTTCATCGGTATCCGAACTTCCGCTGCTGTTTGCACTATCAATGCTTCCTATTATGGAAACCAGAGAAGTTGGATCTTTATTATTATTATTATTAAATAAATTTCGAGAAATGAATTCGGATTTAAGGGATTTAAAAACGTGATCTTCGACCATGCAACAAGATGATGTAGTACTTTGAGCATCTTCGTTAGATAAATCACCGGATAGGGAATCATCTTCGTTACCATCGGATTCGAAACCTTCGTCGTCGCCATTTTTTTTATTTTTTTTACGTGAAAATTCTAATTTATCCTTGCATTTGATATAATATTTACGATTTTTTTGTTTTATATTATTATTATTATTGTTTATATTTCTCTCGTATCTATTGACTAGATCTTTTATAAGTGTTGCCAACATCGATGCGTTAACGGATTTAACCGATTCGCGACCGATTTCGGTTACTTCGAAACTATACATTTTTGTTTTAATTATTTAAAAAAATTTTCTTCTTCGATTTTTCACACTTTTACTACGTCACTTCTCCAAAATTCATTTTATTATTTTCTTCGATTAATTCGATTTTTATTTTCGATCGATATTTTCAACATTTGTTCGATTTATCTGTAAAAAAATAGAAAAAAGAAAAATATTAATTTTTTTATTCGTGTTGGATTTTTGCTTTAATGTTATGTGAAATTTTTCGTCTGCTATAGAAAGTTAAATGAGAAAAATAAATTATTTTATTTTATTTATTAATAAAAACAAAAAAAAAAAATTATTTTCACGGTTAAAATGAATAAAAAAAAAAAGAAAGCGAACGATTGTCGCACAAAAACTTGATTTTGATTCATAAATTTTTCTTTTTTTTTTTTTTTTATTATTATTTAAACCATAAAAAATTTTTAATTTTTATTATTATTATTATGTATGTATGTAAATGTTAATGTGAGTATGAGAGAATCTTTTTAATTACATCAATTTTCTATTAGGAAAAATAATAATAATAATAAATAACCGAAACCGAAATGGAAAATTTAAAAAAACAAAATTGCAACTTTCACACGATGCTATAAACAAAAAAAAAAAAAGTTTTCAAAACATTATAAACGTATAAATTATTATCATTATTATCAGTATCATTATAATTATTATTATTATTATTATTATCATTATCAATTATATTTTAAAATGATCGAAAGACGAAAGTAATTCGAAAATAGAAAGAAAATTTTTTTTCTTTTTTTTTTTTTCACATCAATATGATTGAAATCGCCATTTTTTTTTATTTTATTATTAAAAATTCGTTAATTTAATTTATTTTATTATTACTTACTCCGGTAATAAATTTAATTCGAAAAAAAATTATTAAAGTAATAAATAAATAAATAAATAAGGAGTAATAAAAAAAAATTTTTTTAATAATAAATAAATAAATAATTTTTTCGGTTTCTCTCACACATGAAATCGACGTTATAAGAATTTTTTTTTTTTTATCTGGAGCAAAAAATAATTTACCGCAAAATAAAATCAATATTGCGGTCGTTAAATTCGTGGGAGGGTAGGGGGAGGTGAAGGGAAAGGATGGGAGGGAGAGAGGGAGGTGATTTTAAAAAATTGAGAAACGAATTTACTAAAAAAAAAAATTTTTTTGATAAAATTTCAACAACGACGAATAATATTATGAGAATTAATAATAATAATAATAATAATAATGATAATAATTGTTTTATTATAATATTTAATTTAATTATTATTATCATTTTTTTTATACGACTAACTTTCTAAGTAAGAAAATTTTTTTTCAATCAAAAAAAACCCGTTAAACAAATAAAAATTGTCAATTTTTAAATGTCGTCATTCTCACAAACTCTCACTTTATCATTATTATTATTATTATTAACGAGAGGGAGAGAAAGAGAGAGAGAGAGAGAGAGATAGAAAAAGTTCGGGAATTATGACGTGGTATGGAAAAACAAAAAGAAAAAGAAAAATTCGAATTGGAAAAAAAAAGCATTTCGATGGGATATTATTCACAATCGAATAAATATTTCGATACGAGAAAAATTGAGCAAGAAGAACGATAATAATAATAATAATGATAATAATAATAATGATAATAATAATAATGATAATAATGATAACAAGTCAAAAATACAATCCGACGTAAAAAATAATTATTTGTTATATGCAATAGTAAAACTTTAAAAAATTCAAACGAGTTCGAAACGGTTTCGAAAAATTACAAAATTTCAAAAGAAAAAAAAAGGAAAAAAATTTGACCTAATAAATGACCTTTGACCATTTGGAAAACTATAATAAAAGTAAAATTTTATCGATTTAATAACAACAACAACAACAAAATTTTCGTCTGCTTACACGACATTTATAAAAAAAAAATAATTAATAATAATAATGATGAATTTTTTTTGCATGTTTTGTCAAAATATTATTATTATTATTATTTCTACTTTTTTGTAAACACGAATCATCGATCGATCGATTTCAAACTCGTTTTTTTTTTAAAAAAAAAAAATAATAATAATAATCGATAGATGATGAATCGATTTGATCGATTTATTTCATCCGTTTCAAAACGTGTCGGGGGGAGGGGAGGGGGGAGGAAAAAACTAAATAAATAATAATAATAATAATAATAATTTTTTTTTGCTGAAAGAGAGTATAATAAAATCATTGTAGAAAGTTGATTTTTTTTTTTTTTTTTTAAAGATATTAATTAAAGAATTCGATTTAAATTTTTTTTTTTTTTTTTGCGGGGCAAAACGTTAATAATAATGATAATGATAATGATAATAATAAAACCGGCCGACATGTTATAATTTTTATTTTTCCAAACAAATTATAAAATTAATATTAAAAAAAATTAAAAATTTGGAAAAATCCCCTTTGGGGAATGTTGTTGTGAAAGCTTTATTATTATTATTATTATTATTTAAAAATTATAAAATAGAAAGTTTTTTATTTTTTTAAATTAAAAAAAAAAAAATTATCATTATCATCATCATTATTATTATTATTAATAATAAAAATCGATTGATTGCAATTATCGAGTGTTTGTTTGAAATTTACTTTTACCGATAAATATTTTACTTAACTCGTTGTTTGTTTTATAAAAACATTACGAACTCAATATTTTAAGTAAATAGAAAATATATTTGAACAAACAAACAAACAGACAAACAATTATTAGGTTTTATAGATGGATTGTTGTCCGTATTGTTTGTTGTCGGGCATTAAACCCGCATTAGGACTCCATTGCCTCGAGTGTGTTCGTACTTATTAACCATAGAAATCCAAAAAAAAAGAAAATTTTTTTACTTTTTTTTTTTTTTTTTTATTTTAAAAAACCATTCGTATCGGTAATGATAAACATGTGTAAAAGTGGTCATTTTATATTTAAAATACGTGTATATATATAAAAATTTTAAAAAGATGCCGCAAACAGGTTAATTTGACCTCGGGGTAAATTTCTCTTAATTTAAATCAAACTTTGTAACACCTTTGATATGTTTTGCTTGTGAATGGACCACGCAGCGTGTGTGTGTGTGTGTGTACCTGTTCGTACTCCATCTACCTATCTAAAACATGTGACGGATGACGATGACGACAACATACAAAAAAAATTATAAGGGATTATTATTATTATTATTATTAATATTCGAGATCAAAGTTGTTGGTAATTTTATGGAAATTGCACACACATATGCCGAAATTTACTTACCTTGACACATTTGTAACCTTTTAAACAACGATTGATTGAAAAAGTTGGTACCTTGTACCTACTTGTGGAATATTAAAAATGATATCCGATAGTTTTATTTTAGATAACTTTTATAAAAAAAATCGCAGGGTTATTTTATTTTTTACAAGGGTGCCAACATTTTAATTCACGAATTCAAAAAAAAAATAATACGGGTATCATCGTTGTAAGGTTTAACGAATAAATTATTATTATTATTACTACGCAAATTAGCACGGTTTTTATTATTATTATTGTTTTTATAAGTAGAAATAAGAGGAATAGATTGGTTGCTAAGTGAAATGTGCGAAGGAAGATGGGAATGTCAAATAATTTGTGAATTTTGTTAATAAATAAAACAAACAACAAACAAACAATTTTTTTTTAAAGTAAAATTTAAACAACATGACTAAACAATTATGAAATACCGCGAAAAATACTACGAACGTAGTTGTTGTTGTTGTTGTTGTTGATGCAACGTATCCTTGATACCACTTATCAAGTAGGCAACATTACAAAAAAAAAAAAAGTTTTCAATTTTTTGACAAAATAATTTTTTTCTTTTCACGAAAGGGTTTTTTTCTGATTTTTTTTTTTTTAGTTTTATTAAGTGGGTAGAAAAAAGGAAGAGGAACAAAAAAATTGGAAAAGAGTGAGAGAGAGAGAGAGAGAGAGAGAGAGAGTGAAAAAGATTTAATTCGTTTATAGCCTACAGTTCCTTTTTTTTTTAGTCAAACTGCTTTTTCAACTTTTTAGTAGCCTTCACTACTCACTCAATTGGTTATTTAGTATTTTTACCTTTTGTTTTTTTTTAGTTAACTCGTACTAAAATTACTTCCATCTTATATAATAATATTCTGTTGTTAAGCTTACCGGAAACTTCTTTTGCAACTATCTATCTTTCTACTACTATCACAATCTTACCACCACCTTTTGTAACTGATAAGCGAAACATTGTACTTTTTAAAACTTTCTTCTTACATGACCGGAAGGGATGATTGTTTTCTTCTTTTTAATTTATACCATCAAATTATTACTCATCGTGATAATAATAATAATAATAATAATAATAATAATAATAATTTAATTTTGAACCAATCATTGAATTTCTTTCTTTCTTTTTTTTCATATCTTAAATTTCCTTCCTTAAAATTTTTTTATGACGTAAGCAAGCAAACGTTTTCCTTTCGTATATCGTGTTTTTCTATGAATTTTCACCTTTTCCTTTTTTTTTTTACGTAATTTGTTTTCTTTTCTTTAAGGAAAATTACAACCTCTATTTAAAATTAAATTTATATTTATTAATCACGTGAGTAATAAAAATAATAAATATTAATAATAATTGCTCTCACTTCCGAAAAATTATTAAAATTATTATTTATTTAATGAAATTCGATTTCTTCGTAATAAAATGATATAATAATAATAATTACGTATCATGTTGACAGGTAATAATAATAATAATTAATCAATAATAATTTGAATAAGAGGGGGAAAAAAAAAAAGAAAATTTACAATCACGACGACGACGACGACGATGCGAGAGGATTTTCATTATAGGAAAAGGATTAAATATGTAAGTAACTTTCACTTTACTTTCGATAAAACGTTATAAAATAAATTTCTGCACGGTTATTATTATTATTATTATTATTATTACGATTTATTTTTACTTTTTTAAACGACGATGACACTTTCCCCACCCCCCACCTTCCCATTC